AGGCAGGAGTGCCTGCGCAGCGGCGTCCTCTTCGAAGACCCTGACTTCCCCGCCTGCAACTCCTCTCTCTTCTTCAGTGAAAAGCCACCTATTCCCTTCATCTGGAAGAGGCCTGCGGTGAGTATGCCATCGTGCGGAGGAGGGTGACCCTTCCTCTCCTTTCATCCTGCCAAAAGGAAGGCGTTGCTGTACCTTGGGATCGCACCAAACGCGTGGCGTGTTCAGGGAGACGTGGAGGGGAAGCGCGGGGGGAAACCCTTCCCGGAGCAGCAGCGCGGGGCCGCAGTGTCACCCGCAAAGAGCTCAGGCTGTGGGATGAGAGGGCTGGTAGGTTTCACACCATTTTTTAGATGTAGCTCATTGTATAGCCACACTTTATGCACGTACATTTATGTACGTGCATAAACAACTTGTAATCAGCCTTCTCTCTTACATTATTGCCAAACAAAAGCAAGGTTAAGATGAACATAAGAGGACATGCAAGAAATTAAGGATAAAATACATTATGATGATGTTCTAACTATGTAAAAATCAAGTGTTGTTAATGTAGGAAATTCATAATTAAGAATAAACTTTAAAAATGCAAACCTTTCAACTTTTAGAGACTCTTATACTTACTTGCTCGCTTCCATCATAAAACACTGAGAGATTATGAATACATGCCATGGTTACTGAGCCATTCAGCAGTAGCCAAGGGCTTGATGAGTATCTCTAAATGCATCTTGCATAACAGTCATTAATAACACAGCAAGAGCCTGAAGCATCACTAGTCACGTGCTCTCAGATCACAAACCCAGCATCACTCCAGGTTCCTTCTCTCCACTTAACTCTGTAACTAATAGCCACAGAAAATTTGTGGCTACATTTAATTACTTTGCTAATGACAGATGTTTATTCTCTTTTTCTTTCTAGTCTGAAAGCTTTTCCTTTAGTAGAAAACTTTCCTTTGGCGACAGTGGTACCAAGAACAAAATAGGCTTAAAAATGGGTTTAAATTTTGGCTTAACTTAATCCACGATGATAGGCGTTCAAATGCCTTAGCACCAGTTAATATAGTGCAGAGCAGAATTAACGCTATTACTCCTGGACAAGTTTCAGCTATGAAAAAACAGGAGATTCCTACACATTGTAAGTGCAGCCCCTGCAGGCACTACTGCCTGCCTTGCCTGCCTGTGCCCCAAAACCCAGGTGGGCTGTAGAGCTGTCCTCAGGCACAGGATGGGGCTGAGATACTTTTGGTGCAGTGGCTCTGGACTGCTGTAGGACATTAAAAATGCAAGTACCTGTGACACTAAATGAGAAAGAATGGTTTTTCTTTGGCCAGCCATTAGGTGCTAGTTTGTCTTTTTTTTTCCATTTGGGGCTTCATGATAGTTAAACTTTGCTTTAAAATGTGACCAGGAGCAGCTGAGAGTTTGTGTGTCCTTGTGTGTGCGACCCAGGAACAGCAGTGTGGTCTGTTTGTTCTAGTTCTTGCAATCTTCTTCAGGATGTTTGTACACTGAACTGGAAACGGTTCCAGGATGAGTAAATTACCTGAAATGGGATCTGTCTTTACACTCCAATTCCCACCATGCAACAAGGTGAACTTTTGTGAGCTGCACAGCAAGAAATAAAGCTCAGGAGAGGCTGAGAGGATGTGTAAGGACAGGGTTTTAGTTATGCTCTTCTCTGGCTCCTCAGCATTTAAGCGAAATCAGTTTTATCTCTATTATCCATCAGGAACAGAAGCAAAATAGAGGCACTGCAACACCATTTCAAGTTAACACTTTTTAGTTTGCAAGCAGGATACAGGCCTGGAGCACGTGCCAGGTTAGTTGCCATGGCTCAGCTGGTGAAGCTGCGGTGCCAGAGAAGGTGAGCATGGCCTCCCTGTTCAAACTGCTTTTCACAGTGACTGGTTTTTACTGCCTCTCCTACCAGTATTTTACAGTAGCTTGGATGAAATAGCACAATACATGAGGGTAATTGCAGGGACAAATAATGTTAGTCTTCAGATTTACACCCTGTTAGAGTTTAATCTTTCATAATGATCTTAGAGGAGGCTTTCTCAATATTTTGACACGCATATACCTTGTACATTTCTACATTTGTACGCAGAGTGAACAAGACCCTCAGCTAGCCCTAATCTGTAAATCTCCCACTGCAATCAGTGAGCTACATGGACCTGCACCAGATTAATATCTCACTTTCTACAGAAATCTTAAATGTTCTAGGATTCAGAAAGATATTTAGTGATTTTGTTTAGCAATCCCTTGTAATGAATTACAAATTAAACTTTTGAAACTGTACCTTATAAAAATTTCAGAATAATCTGAAGAACAAAAGATCCTTTTCTCATTGCATTTTTTCCCTTCCCTTCCCTTCCCTTCCCTTCCCTTCCCTTCCCTTCCCTTCCCTTCCCTTCTCTTCCCTTTTTTCCTTCTTAATTTATATTTAAATTCAACTGCTGGGATAAATTCAACAACTCAGTGTCTGGAAAAGTTAGACATATAAACTGAAGAATGAAGAAATAATAAAAGAAAGACAAACAACTGTGTTTTGCCAATGCCAAATGAGTCTATGGTCTACAGGAGGAAGTAAGAAGGAAATTCTCTTAATATGAACAGCCACTGGTAACTGGTATGACAGGTACTGTGTGCTAGAACCAGGCAGAGAAATGTAATCACAGAAATAAGGCCACCTGAACAGCCTCACCCTCAGCCTTTCTTTGGTCACCATGTACCCCTTCTAGCAATGCGAGACAGAGGCGCAGGAGGTGCAGTTTGTTTTCTTTTGAGTCTAAAGAAACACAGCTTTGATGTAGCATCAGGAAAGTCACGAGTTGCCTTGTGTGGTTTTCTTTTGCATAGCAGAGAATGTGGCACATGTCCAGTCAAAATCCTGTCAATTCCTTTTTCTTGATTTTTTTTCATTATTTTTGTTTGCTTTAGACATAGGAGATTGAAAATATTTTTCCATGTTAGGTGTAGAGCTGTGTAATAAGCAATGAGGCATGAATCTAACGTTCAATCCCATGTCAGTGGAAAGGTTTGTTATCTCGTCCTTTGCTAACACATGGAGTTTCTTGGTAACAACTAAATACGGTTCTTGCCATGAGAATTATGTTCCCCAGGAGCAATGATGCTAAAATAAGGCATGTTATTAAAGATCACCTATTTTATCATCTATTGTTATATCTATGCCTAAAGGCAATAAGCTGTGTTTTGCTGTGTTTTTTTATTGTTCACATCCAGTCCTAACAAGACAGAGTGTATTTAACAAGCAGGCGGGCCAGGTAAGGAGGAGCTGCTGGTTGATTTCCCTTTGCTCAACGCACTGGGGACACGACGTGCTGCGATACCTCCTCCCCGGGGCATCTGTGGCTGAGGCACAACCTGGCCACCACCTCCTCCCCAGCAAAGGCAAACAAAAAATATTAAAACCGGTTTCCTTCTGAATATTGCCTCTGCAGGGTGGTCTTCGCAGGAGCTGTGCTGGTTCACTGGGGAGAGTGTCCTGGCTCCAGCAGTGGCCAGCAGCAGATGCTTCAGCAATAAGTGTGGGAAGCTGAACAAAACTATCAATATCCTGCCCTGATGGCCTATATCACACAAAATGCAGTGATAGAAACCAAAAGAAGGAAACCAGTTTGCTTCTAGGCAAATCCAGGGGTTAAATGGATTTATTCTGCCCCCCCCCCCCCTTTTTTTTTTGCAAGCTTCTACCACTTAGAAGAATCTTCTTCATGCCATAGGGTCTGCAATAGTATCAGAGCATTAACTACAGGCATATTCCTCTAGTAATATACTAGATACCTTCCTCCTCCCTTTTCTATTCAATTCAATCAATTACATTCAATTTACAGTTCATTGGAAAGGGGAGAGGAGAGGGGAATTCCTGCCACATGTATCGGTTTCCCACTATAATTTTTCTATCCAGCTGTGGTGTTAGTAATTGAACTAGAACAGTCAAATGAATGCTTGAGAATTGCATTAATGCCACCATGAGCACCAGGCCCTCTGAGCACACAAGGGTGGGTAGTGTTGGCTCCTCCTAAAAATTATCTCTGTAAAACAAACAAGGCTGGAGTCTACCTTTGTTGTTTGCTTATTTGAGGAGGAAATGGTCTCATGGTTGTCAGACACTGTGTGTTCCAGGTATTATGTGCAGGTAAATAAAAGGCTTAATAGTGCATTTAAAGGCAAATTGCCAGTTCTAGTTTTCCCAGACAGTGGGGGAAAACAAACAAACAAGCAAAAAAACCCCATTAACCGGGGCTGTAACCTAACATCAAGATTCTGGACCAGGTTGTGCTATGACAGTTTAACAATTGTTTACAGATGAATAAAGAATGCCAGCCTTTCAATAGCAGCCAAATAATTATGGAGAAATGAGGGTAGTTGATTCTTTAATTGCTCTACGGTGTAATTAATTAGCAAGGATTCCCCACCTAGTTTTTTGTGGTGGCTATACTGCTGCAGGATAATATCGCTCATGTGGCACACACCGTGCTGCATGTCAGGGCTCAGAGTAACGATGATATTTTCCTGGCACATTCCAAGTAATTTCTGTGTGTCTCTCTGCCTCTTGCAGGACATTGTCAAAGACCCCAAGTTTGTCCTTGAAGGAGCCACAAGAACTGACGTTTGCCAAGGGGATCTTGGTGAGTGATTGCCTCTGGGTGGATGCGTTCATGCCTACACCCCATGAGGAGCAGCAGGAAAGTTATCCCTCCTGAACTGGTGGGAGCAGTGAAGCTGGAAGTACTGCCCATGCTCTCTTTGCCTGCAGCCACCTCTTTTGTAGCACCTTCCCATCCGTGCCAGGGACCATTCTGTGCAATGGGATTCAAGATCAAGGAAGGATCTCCGCATGAGGGTACAGTGAGCCCAAGGGAGCCTTTTGTCTACCAGTACCTCCAAACTGCAGCACAGTCTGCCCTGGCTGAGCAGAGACACGCTTCCTGGGGACACGTGGGCTGTCTTTTGGATTTCAAGAGTTACAGCAGTGAACTGCCATAACATCTCCTCGGGCCCTTACACCACCTTCTTTTCCTCTTGAAGGGAAGAAAATGAGGTTTTTTCCCCCTTCTCAATTCACAGGTGACTGCTGGCTACTAGCAGCCATAGCTTCTCTCACACTGAATGAAAAAACACTAGCAAGAGTGGTGCCACTGGATCAAAATTTTGGGCCAGATTATGCTGGAATATTTCACTTCCAGGTAAGATGAACATCTGGCACAGCATGGACACATTTCTGTCATTACACGTCATGGTCTATTTCGTAGTGAGGTGTGATGGTTATTGCAGAGGAGACATTGAAAAAAAAGGAATTGCTGAGCTTACACTGTTGTTCGTGTTTTGAGAAATAATCTAGAGGGCTACGTCAGCCTCCCACGGGCACACACATAGCCACTTCTGCTCTGTGAAGAGATATATGGCTTTAGAAATTATTTCACATTTTCTTGGGCACTTAAACCTCACTTAGGACATAAAGCCTTAAAGGAGGTGGACTGAGATCTGTAATACATGTGTGTCTTAAAGGTGTCTTGAATCATGTGGTGACCATTTGTGTAGCTATATGAGTGATGTTCTCCAGACAAGGAGCTACAGTACAGCTCTGCACTTTTAATCTTAGTCTTTTCTTAAGATAGATTACCGTTCTTTCAGAGCACCCTAGCCCAGTATAGTGGGAATGGATGATTTACATAACTTCTAATCAAGCTTATGATTGTGACTAACTAACTTTCAATTAGAAGTGCTGGGACACCAGAGTCCTACACTCAGGAAATAACATGCTGTCAGCAAACTCATGCCCCATCCTTTCTAAATAGTTTTGGCAGCACAACGAGTGGCTGGATGTCGTGATTGATGACCGATTGCCCACCTTCAAAGGCCGATTGGTTTTCCTGCACTCAGCTGAACACAACGAGTTTTGGAGTGCTTTACTAGAGAAAGCCTATGCCAAGTAAGTCACACCATGCATACATAATTTGCTATTTGTACATACATTATTCACGATTTGTACATACATTATTCACAACTCAAGCGAACAGCTTCTATCCAGTATTTTGGGGGCGGGGGGGGTCAGGGGTGTTGCATTTGCTGCTGCCCTGATCTAAAGACTATAAAGATTAGATAAATAAAGATTATATCTATCTCTTGTGAGCTGGTCCAGCTTCCAGCACATCATTAGATACAGCCCTAGCTGATAGCAACAGAGTTGGATCAAAGCCTGAATCCTGTGATTTGTGTCTCTGCTGAGACCTCAGTTGATGGTTCTGGCTAACTCTGTATTTTTAAATGATTTGGCAGGTAACAAGCCACTGACATGCAGTGATATTCAGTCCTTGCCAACCTGACAACTGGCACTGAAGAAAGAAAAGCCTCAGGCTTTAAGGATATAGAGAAATGAATGAATTAAAAATGCAGTTAACAAGGAAAGCAGAATGATCCCAATACTCCTCCCATATATCCTGGGTACATTCTGGGGTATTTCTTTTGACTTCAGTGCCATTGCTGCAATTTTATGCTCGTGTGAGAAAGCTCTCAAACATGGGTATCTATCTTCAAAATTTTGAAAGCATGTCTCACAGTCAACATGTGTTTTCCAGGCTGAATGGCAGCTACGAGGCTCTGAAAGGAGGCAGTACAATAGAAGCCATGGAGGATTTCACTGGGGGTGTAGGAGAAATGTATGAGGTTAAAAAGGCTCCTGACAATCTCTATGAAATCCTAGAGAAAGCTCTGAAAAGATGCTCAATGGTGGGCTGCTCTATTGATGTAAGTAAGAAATGGGGTCTGATTTTCTCAGTTAAGTTTTGTGGTTTCTGCATTAAAAAAAACCCTACTTTTTAAAGACTGGTTAGATTAATGACAAGTAGAAGGATATGCACTTAACTCTGCGAATAGCTATGAACTAACAGATATGTAATATTAATGTAGGCCTTAGTACAGTGGTTTAAAAGAAAAGAAAAAGATTCATCATTTTTCAGGAAGTGATGGCCACTGTATTTAAAGCAATAATGACATGAGTATGAGCATTTGGTGAGAGTGAACTTTATTTCCTGACTTATTGGGTCACTAGGCATTAAAACTGGCCATAGGTTTTTGAGTTCTTACTGCTTCCAGAGACTACAAAATTGCTTTTTTCAGCCCTGAATTCTGTAACAACACCTGTGGGGACTTTGGGGACTCAAGACAATTTTCAGGATCAGTGTGTGTGTTTGTAAACAGGGGCTGGGGCTTAGGGTATGTCAGATTTATTCCTCCAGAGACTGAAACCTCCAGTTTTCCCAGAGAAAAGGTTGCTGGTGGGTAGCACCTGCATAGGTTACCTACTCATTCATACTGCTCTGCCAGTGTGTCTGACCCAGGGTAAAAGGAGCCATCCATGTGTCCTTGGCTTTCTGGTGAAAAATGCCTGAGCTGCTCAACAGCAAGAATGAAAACCCCATTGCTGTTCCTTGCTGACTGTGCTCAGCAGGGAAAGGCAGTTCAGAAACAAAAGTGTGCCTGGTTTCTCCACCAGAATGAGCAGATGGAGAAAAAGCTTTGAGAGCAAATGAAAAATCCCACCAAGCACAAAATGTTCCATTCCCCTTTTTGGGCACTTGCAACAAAAGCAAAGGAAGTGCCCAGGCTGGGAGAGAAGGAGAGAGACTTTCATTTACCCTCTGCCCATGAGCCTCATAGTTGAACATTTGGCCGGGCTGAGGGAGACCTGTTGTCTCAAATCCATTGCCTGCCTGCCTGAAAGCAGGGGTTTTCCACAAGCTCTCTCTTTTACTCAAGACTGTGCCCTCAACTTTGGGGTTCAGTGTTTTCTGATTTAAGTTGCCCTTTCTCCCGTGATGAAGCTTTGCTGCTTGCAAAGCAGCATATAAATATTATGCTGCTTGCAAAGCAGCAAAAATAAGTATTTATTGAATTACAGAGTGTGATACTTAGCTGGCTGATAGGACTCTTCACTGCCATCATGCTCTATCAATGTCTTTTTACAAGAAGTGAGACCATATCAACACCTGATCTCATTCTGAGAGCACCTTTTTCCATCCCTTAACTGATCCAAACTTCATTTGAATGGGAGTTAAGATTGAGATCCTGGAAATGCAGATGATGTTGATATAAAATCACAGTGGCAGCATAGGTATTTCAGCCTGGAAACACCCTATTTTCCCTCTGAGTGAACAATGCTAAAAAAAAAAAAAGGAATACTATCCTTTCCTTTCCTCAAAGGGCATCATTGTGCCATCACTGTTTGCATCGAGCAGACAGACAAGTTCCCTGTCCACAGTACTGGTTAGCCACTGAACTCCCACCTGATGCTTGGAAGGGACCAGGTGGCACCACTTGTGACCTCACTCTAAAGCGAGAATTTCACATTTTTTTCCTGTATTTCAGACCAGCAGTGCTGCCGAGTCAGAAGCCAAAACCCCGTTTGGCCTTATAAAGGGCCACGCTTACTCTGTGACTGGCGTCGATGAGGTACGTTCAGCAGCGCGGGGCAAGGAGAGACCTGGGAAAAAGATAAGGGAGTGTCCCCCGACCTCAGGAGACAGGAGAGTGATCCTGGGAGAGTTACCCAAATTCCCATCCATCTTTCCCTCCCACCTCTCCCGTAGCAGTCTGTACCTTTTGCCCAGCTGTTACACCAGCTTGCCCAGCCTCTGCACGCTGGAGAAATATACTACTACCAAGCTACTGACACTTGGTATTTTCTCTATTTCCTTCTTCCCCAGGTGAGCTATCGGGGCCAGCAAGTGCAGCTGATAAGGATAAGGAACCCCTGGGGACAGGTGGAGTGGAACGGCCCTTGGAGTGACAAGTGCGTGCGCTGTCCCACACACGCTGGCCTCGCAAAGGCCAAATCCCAGCTGCGGCTCCACAGCTAGCTTTCTGCAGCCCCAGCTATTCCAGGGAAAATTAAATCAAGAGTTTGAACATGCGTAACATGCCATATTAACATGTCACCCTCAGTATTTTCAAAGCTGCTCAGTTGTGGGGACACTGTCGAGGCTGTTTAGCCTCCGAAATCTAGCATTAGCAAAAGCCATGCATTAATATAAATAGGAAAAGTTAATTTCAAGACACTCCTGTCTGGAAAAATTGTACATTTGGACTGATTTTTTGTTTATTTTTTGCAAGCCTGTTGCTGTGGTACTTGTAACACAACATCCATACTTTGTCCTCCTGCAGATAATCTGGAAAGTGATAGTGTATTACCCCCTGTAAGTAGTTTGTGAGTCTCTAGAACGCCAAACCCAGTTTACTGTTCTGGGTTTCTAAACACGTCTAGGAATAGGCAGGAATCTTACAGGCTATATATGACAATTAAATGAGACCGTCTCCATGTGGTATCCACCAAAGCTGTGGAAGAACCCAAAAACACAACAGGACTGGTCTGAAAACCAATGTGGTTTTACTACCAGTGGTAAACAAAGTGCAAGTAATACAAAATTAAAAAATTTTAAAAAGTAAAAAACACCAATACATTCCCCCCCAACATACACTTTTCAATATATTTTTGCATGGCTTCATTTTTGTTTCACTTTCTTCTGCTAAGGGTTGGGGGTTTTTTTATGCACATAGATGTAGGTGAGAGGAGCCATAACCTGCCTGGCCCTTTAAAACTGCTGAGACATGTAGTCATCTGTAGGACTACTTTGAATGTCCCAGCCCTTAACATGACTCAGAAATAAATGAAATATTTCCACATCAGCACTGATCCTTTGTTATCTTGGGAAAAAAAAACGTGAATAATTGACATATGTAATGAGTGATTAAATCTCAAAAAAACCCCAAAGAGGTTAACATCAAGACAGGCATCTGGCAATTCATGCTGATTATTGAAAAGACTGTCTCTGCAAAGCAGAGCTCTGATTCTGCACTTGGAAGGTTTTCTGGAACTCAAGTTGCAGAGGGGCTCACAGGTCAGTAGGTAAATCTGTATTAACATTTTGCAGTGGTTGCTGGAATTAAAAACCTCAACACAAGGTACCTGCTACTCCCTGTTTATTATGTCAGACTGGAGATGTGGTAGGGCATTCCAAGTTTTTTCCAAAAAGCTTTAGCAGGTTTTTGTTTTGTTCTGACCTGCTACAGCTGGAGTTGTAGGGGTGAATGAAAAGGAGGCAAAGACTTTTCCTGGAACCCCAGTTACTCCAGCAAATATCACTGTACAGGGGAAGGAGCCTATTCAGCTCCCATTGACTCAATTTTGAAGAAACATCTGGCCCTAAATTACTGACAAACATGAAAGAGGAGAGGGTGCTACAGATGGAAAACAGATTTAAGGAGGGGTGTGACTTAGCAAAATCTTGAGGTTTACCAATAACCCTATTATACCTAATGCCAACACATGACAGCAGTCCCAACTCTGAGTGCTGGCAATAACTCACGCAGCACCATCCTGGAGCAGCTTTGGGATCTTTGGCCTGGTCCTGCTTCCAGCTACATTAATTGGGTCTCTGCGACCATGAGTGACAGCAGGATTTGGGAAACCTCTTAAATGCATCCGTGTTTGTGTGAGCTGCTCAATTAAAACACATCTGGAAGAAGAATAGCCTGCCGCTGTGTCCAGCCAGTTATTCTGAGCCGGGGAAAATCACTTTTCACAAACCCATAGTAATGCTTGGTTTTGTTTTCTTGCAGCTCTCTGGAGTGGTGTTCAGTCAGCCCACTGGAGCAGAGACGCCTATCTCAGGCAGCACGGGATGATGGAGAGTTCTGGTAAGCCACAGGTTTTTGAAGTGTGTGGCTCTAGTCAGAAATCAAGGTGCAAGCAGCCAAAATGAGCAATGAGGGAGAAGTCTCTGTGTGAGAAAATGCTCAGTTTCTGCCTAGGAGAGGGCAGGTAGAATGTTCACTTGGTTTTCTGTGTGTTTCATGTGTGCCCATGTCTATTTTAATAACAAAGAGTTTTAAAAGTCAGTTTAGTTAATGGCATTAGCATATGTCAAATACTGTGTGTCTCCCATGAATGTAACACCCCTTAAATCCTTCCCATGAACAAAGGCAGGCTCTACAGAAGGGAGCCTTGTATTGCCCTAATTCACTTATGAAATGCCTTCAGGGTTGATACTAGACATACACTGGAATGGAAGGGAGTCCTGAGAAGCAATACTACTTGTTACAGAAAGTAAAAGAACACCAAGATGTGTGTGAAATGATGGAAAATTTTAAGATAAGATGAAATGAAATAGGAAAAAAAAAATCATGCTGGAAATTGCTTTAGAAGTGTGAAGTGTTCTTCATGCCAAATTCACGATCTCAGACAGAGCAGATGGCTGACTTGCACATGACCCCCCCCTATAAAAACCATGCTGTGCACTACTGACAATGTGTCTGGTCACATTTTCTAGGTCCAGATACTCATCTCTTTTACACAGTGGTAAATCTAGAGAGGAATGCAGTGGGGCTATTCCAGATTTTTCCTGCAAATTAAACCAAAGTTCAACTTTAGGCCTGAAAAATTATTTGAGATAGACAATGCAGCACATTAAGTCACATAAAATGATTCATCCCAAGCTTTGATAGCTCTGAAGGGAAGTGGGTCCAGTGGCTGATCCATTACTTAAGTATTTTTACATAGGATATTTTGAGTTATTTTGCTATTGACATTTTAAATGCAGTTGGGCATTTCTAGTTTTTTCCAGAAAGCTTTTGTGGGGGTTTTTTTGGTCTGTTTTTGATCTGGCTACAGCTGGAGCTTATGGGTTGAATGAAAAGGAGGCAAAGACTTTCCCTTGAACCCAAGTAGCTCCAGTAAGTCTCAATACAGGGCATGACTTAAAGCCTGACTGTGTAATGAAGGTACAAGTGTGCAAGCAGGCATCAAATGAGCAATGATATTCATGAACTCATCTATCCAACAGAGCTAAGCTGACAGGTAAGTAAGCCCTCGAAAGGCCAATAAAAATTAATGAGGTTGAGCATACCCAGACAAATGTTGGCCGCCTTCATCCAGCGTCTCAGCCATTCAGAGCAGAAACAAAAACCATTGGGACTGAAATTTCCACTGAAGGGGTTAAATGGACAAAAATCTTATGCAGAAGGTAAGAAATGCTTCTAAAACCAGTCAGGCAAGTTTGACACCAGCTAAACCCTCCACCCAGTCCATCAGACTTATTTTTCCTAATGCCTTTTGACTTCTGTGTATTTCTCTAAGGAACGTTTGCCTTTTTGCCCCCTCTAAGCCACACCTTGATGGTTTCCCCATCAGGCTTCACATACAGACTTTGCATGAGCAATAATGTGATGTATCCCTAAAGACATTAAAATGGTCAGATGAGGAAAGAGACGAACATAGCTGCTTCTCTCCAGCTTTCAGTTTGTTCTTGCTGTGGTTCTTGATGCAGTTTAGCTGAGGAGATGGCAAATGAGCTATATTCCCGCTTCTGCAGCTGAAGACCTTCAGCCAGCCTATTGACCACTCCTGGTGGTGTCTTGGCTTGCTTCCCTGGAAAGCTGGGGTAATCTTTATGATGTGCTTTGAAACCTGCTGCTAGAAATAGTGAGTAGCAAAGTAATTAGGTCCTCAAGAGTTCAAAACATGTTCTCCATGACATGCATTATCTTTGGGCTTAGCAAATAACGTAAGGTGCAAAGGGGCTCTTCTCCTTGTTGACCATAACCAGTTTCTACTGCAGGAGATATAATAGTGAGTTTTACAGTCAGGAAGTTTTTGTACGTCATTTCGTAATGTGTCTGGAAGCTTAAAGGGAGCCCAGGAAACCTGCTATGTACTCATGAACAACTTCTGTAAATGTGCTGCAGGTTTTGGACCCAGCTTATTCCATGTGCTGATTGCGCACAAAGCAATGGTCACTTTTTCTACACAGGCTCATTTCTGTTAAATGAAAGAGAAGAAGAGAAAGAAGACATATAACTATTTATTCTCATGTATTGTGTTAGATTTCATCCTAGGTAGAACAGGAATACTAGGAGGAAGGGTAGTGCAGCAAGGAAAATTAGACCAACAGCTATGGAACGTTTAAAGCAAGAGAAGTGTCATATCGTCAGAATGTCTTCAGTCAATGCAAAAAGGTGGCACAGCTGTAGAGGACTACATGGGATAAGGCTGCTAAGGTAGGAAACATGGTCTGATAAGACCTTTTGTCCCTTTTATTCTCTGGATTTGTGAGGGCTGAAGAAAATCATCATGGTAACATGCTGAGGGCCTGCTGACCTCATTAACTACCCCAAAGATATTTTGGCTACACATTAGCGGTTC